TTGCCTCACAGTTGAACCCATCTGAACATGAGAACAAACTTATCAAAGTTGAGACTTTTTGCCAATCTTCCTGTGACCTTTTTCAGCTCTTGTGCCAATCCCTCAAAACCAGGAATCCCAGCAGAAAAAAACAGGTTTAATATCCTGATCACGCTGCCTGGCAAAGCACTGCCTCTTATTTATTCATTTATTCATCAAACCTCTTTATATCATGTCTTATCCGCTCCTCCTGCAGCAGATTCTTTCTCTCTAAAGTAAATGATCGGAGAATTGAGCTGGAGATGTTTCTGTCACTGTTTACACTCTGATGCAGCTGTTTAAAACAAACAGGAAGCGATATTGGAAACTTGTTATAAACGTTTTGAGCACTTTAAATTGATTTAAGATATTGAAAAGCTTTTTACTGTTTTAGCTTGTTAMATTTGCTGCACAGACACAACTATTAGCAGCCGTATTGCATTGATGTTATTTGTTCTGCATGTTTTTATTGCTCTGAGAGAAAAAAATCAGTGAGACAACCTGCCTTTAAAAATGCTCTGTTGCCTGCGGTTCTTTTTTCTGTATTTTGATGGTTATTTTTGTTGTGATTGAACACGTCACCATTTTTCTCAGTAAATATATTACTATAGAGGTGCTAATGACATGAAATTTTCACCAGATGTCGGTAACAACCCAAGTGATCCATACATACAAAGAAATCAAAACATAAATGTCCAGAAATGAAGTTATTTGTAATAATGTGGAATGGCAGAGGGACTGTGTCAAATAAAAACAAAATAACATAAAAATGATGAAAAAAACACCTTTTGATTGGTCAGTTTTCAGGCAAGTGGTACCTTTCTGATGTCTTCTGGCAGAGTGTTGTTTTGGACTCAGAAGCTTTCTATGACTGGACAGGTTGTTCCAACAGAACCAAACTAAGAATAAATGCTTTAACAAACACATTTAGGGAAATCGCTCTAAAACCTTCACAGTACAAACCAGCATGTTTGAAATCAGTGTGTTATGACCATGTGTCATCCACTAAAAACAGAACAGAACAAAAGAGGGAAAAAAGGTAAATGCTTACAAGTGAGTACAACAGAACAAGCTTTTCTCTGTTTTTGAACAATATCATTTTTATAGTGTGGTTGAGAACAAAAGGGCTTTCTTTCATTTCAGTGTGTGGCTCTTTGACTTCTTTAATTAAGTTAACATGGCTCCTTGTAAACATTTGTTGCCCACCCCTGAAGAACGCTGGAGGCTTTTTTATATAGGGATATATATTTGACCCAATATTTGTATCAAATTCACCCTTAATATAAAAAAATGAGAAAAATAGAATCTATAGTTTGGAAAAGAAAATTGCACATAGATGCACATCTATCAAGACCAGTCCACTGGCTTACAATAACAATAAAACTACTGTGTTGCCGTATTTCTTTGCCACAAAATTACATGAGCTTTGAGTATTACTGGGTTGGTTTTGGGTCCATTAAAACTGAACCACATATGATTCTTTATAGCTGCATCTTCCCAATTTGTGTTGCTAATAAAAATATTTCTGCAGACAGATTATGGTGTTGAGTTTTCTGTGACAGCTGCTGTGTTCAGCATCATGCATGACACACACGATGCACAGATAAAAAAACGTCAACAGCTTTCTATCACAGCTGCTAACAAACAAACTAAAAAATAGCTTCCTCCTCAGCGGAAGCAATTATCTGCTTTAAGTTGTCTTATCAGAGCTCATTTATTTCCCCTCTGAAGTAATGATAGTTTGTTTTCCCAAGGGCTCAGAAGTAACAGCTCTAGAAAAAGACCAATAAAAAGTAATCGGATAGTGGCATTTTATTATTTTTTGTTTGTTTGTTTGTTTGTTTGTTTGTGAACCACCAACAGATGGGTTCTGGCTATCTGTTATTTAAGACAGAAATTTCTATTGATTTTAGAAGAAAAGTGTCTTTGTTGGTGGGTTTTTTTTTCCTCTCCTTTTTAAAGTTTAGCTGAATGTGGACCAAAGGTGGCCAAGCTCTCCC